CTGCCACCTACTGGTGGTTTTAATTTCACATTTAAAGTATCTTTTCATTTTTTAAATTATTTCAAATATCAGTATTCAATGTTTTATGTTTAATATATCAAAACATTATTTATGCATTTGTAACTGCAGGTTAAATGCATTCATGTTCTGCATTAAACAGTGTGTAAATACATCTAAATGCCACTTCAGATGCAGCTTATGTCTGGATTGCTAAGATGAATTTTGTTGCTACTGATTTCATTTGCTTGGTAACAGCCCAAATGTCTTATTCTTATTCACTGATTAAATGTAAGAATTTGACTCAAAAGATAATGCACACTTATAGAAAAATGGCTTTATTAAGGTAAAATGCCCATAAAAGGTAAAAATCTATTTAAACTTATCTGACCACCACACAGAATATGAAGAATATCAAAAACTTTAGGAGTCAGCTGTCCACGAATGTCCTTAAGATAGCAGCATGATAACACCCTCAATCAGTTGAATGAATGACTCAATATTCACTTACCGTCCCTTAGTGGTAGTTCAGTTGAGAAGTTTGTTGAAAAGTATGCATTTTTCCCCTCAACATTTCTTATTTGTATACTCATAAATGCATTTAAAACATTAATCTCATAACATTATTTATTGCAGTTGTAATTATTGTTATTTGCAGTGTACATTATTTAATCTGACTGGTAGCAGCCCTATAGTGTATATTGAATTTATTGATAAATTGTAATAATTTGACATGTAAGATGATGCATACATCGCAAAAGGTTAAAAATAGGCCTTTGTAAAGGTAAATATGCAGATTTAAGTATGTAAAAGCTGATAGAACATTGATGAAAATATTGCTGCAGAATAAATTGTTTGAATAAAATCTCAGTGATGCAGTTATTTTGTGGGGATATTTTGTATGGAATATTGTCTGCTGACATGAAAAGTTCACTGTATATCATAGTAATAAATACCATTTATTACAGCATTGATATTTTGTTTTCTTTTTAATTTATACACATTAAATATTACATATATGTATGTAATAAAATGTGTATTTCCATTACAGGTTTGGGTCTTAAATTTCATATAAGGTGGTATTAAAAAGGTCTTAAAAAGTCTTAAATTTAACTTGTTCAAGTCTGCAGAAACCCTGAACCATGTCATGTCAACAAATGGAAAAGTCATCCATCTATTAATTATCATGTTAATTACTGTGCGCCTTTAGCCCCAACACCAAATACCATATATTACCCCAAATACTTAAAATTACCCCAAAATCTTAAACAAAACTGAAATCATAAAGAAGACCTTTGTCTCAATATATATGCATTAATTTTAGCGATTCTAATTTGCTGCAATTCTACAACATTTTAAAAAACATACAATATTAGATCAAGTAAGCACAGAATCAACTTTGCGCTGCTGCGCGCGATCGCATCAAGGATCAGACAAATAAACACGTGCATCTTGAAAAGAGGATGTTTTGGAAAGTGCTAAGCTACGTTTTTGTGCCATCTAGTGGTTTAGATGAAAATAATATCAAAGGCGCCTTTTACCCCGGGGTGCCTTTAGCCCTTGTTGTACCCTATATGTGGGGGTGTTTAAGAAAAAGAAAAAAACACCACAGATAAGTCACGTATAAGTCGTATTATTACTTTCAGAAATAATAGCGGCAAATAAAGTGGAATGTTAACATTAAACACTATAAACATAGCTATTGGCTACTGCAGTTCCCCTCACTCCACAACAAATCCTTTAAATTTAATGATATTCAGCGTATTAATCAGCGGAAACATTTTACTCCATTTTTGGCCATACAGATATCATTCAGTCAGTGCACTCTGCGTGTGGGGCTGTGAGAAAATAATAAATAAAAAAAGTGGGGCTGCTGTGAGTGCAGTCAGTCTAGGGACAGCGTCCATATTTCAAACCCAGTGGCATGACAACACTGGCCCTCGCAGCCAAAAAAACAGCCCGGCCCACCGGGAATTCTCCCGGTGCTCCCAATTAGCCCATCGGGGCCTGTATTACATGCAAAGATATAGTAGTTAAAGATGTATATTTAGTATCTGATGACATTAAGACACATACTGCAGACTTAAGAGGCATATGTGGCTACAGAATCACAATAGGCCTTTTACAAACTTTCCCTGTATGATTGTAACTGTATCCATGGAGTTTTCTTGAGAGGTTAATGTGTGGTTGAGTTGATCAATGTAATAGGCTGTGGGGTGGAGTTTGCATTGAACTGGTTTGAACTGAACTGAAAGGAAGGAAATGTGGGAAAAGGAACAATGAGGGAAAGCAAGCAAAAGTTATCGGAGTTTCTATCATTTTCTGTACAAGTCTAAATTGTCTATGTTAATTCAGACCGACTAATATTACATTTGAGTTATGGACACTTGTGCTAGAAACATAAACCTCTACAATACATGTTAGTTTATCATAATAATTCAGAGAAATCAATCTACAGGTTTAATCTGTGTACTACATTCATAAGAAGGTGAGAAAGAAGGTTTTTCTTTTTTAATCAGTTCTATGTACATGTAACTTTGTTCTACAAATTCAGTTCAAATCATTTTGAGCTAGAAAAGTAAATTCAAACAATTTATTATATTTAATTGTTGATGAAAGATTTCTGCCTACACAAGGTCTTTTTGCACACAATTTGGTTAAAAGTAATATGTATTTGAGTTAACTATTTTCCCTGTTGCAATCTACTTTATTTTTTATTCTATTCTATTACATTTATTATCATTTTTATTATTATTATTTTCATCTTGTATGGTCGGATTTGTTATATTTATTAATTTGCTTTTTAGAGGGATTTTCTAGCGCACACAATTTGAATCCACCTCGTTTCTCTGTTCTTCTCCAGCTTTCCTCATATCCTCCAGGTTCTTCATCCATTCATCTTTTCCCTCCTCCTCCAGTCTGGGAATCAAGAAATCCATATGTTGAAGAGTGAAAGTGGTGTCTGATTTTAATGCGATCTTAGACAGAATCAGGATGCTCATATAAGCTTCATGCAGCAGGTTGGACTTTTCCTTTTGAATCTTCTCCAGATCCCTCTTTAGTTTTTCTTCTGTTTTCGTTTTCATCTCAGACTCTTTCATGATACTTTCAAGTTCTTTTTTAGTATTTTCATATACTTTTTTGTCAAAGCTGGTTTCAGGATGGTCACCAGTGCGTTCATACTCCTGTTTGAGCTCATCAAATGTCATATAGACTGGTTTTTTTCTCATCTCATATATTTTGTTCTCTTGGACATGTTTGCTGTAATGACACTTCCTTGTACACACAGTGCAGTAGTTGTTTTCCATGACTGAACACCACGAGAGATCATTCACCCACCAGCAGCCCTTCACATGACAGTTCTCCTGACAGACGGAGCAGCAGGTTGCGTTTCTGTTCCTCCATGATTTATTTTCAATGAGGACTTTTTCTTTGACTGTTTTTGTTACTGTAAACTGAACATTCTTACAGTTCTGAATCTTGTCTCTGTTCTGTCTGAGGGCTTCTTGAATCTGATTCAGTTCTTCAGTTTTTGACTCTTTATCAGAGATTCGTTCCACCAGACTGTTGACACAGGCCTCAAGTTGTCTTCTCTCTTTCAGAACATCTAATGTCATCTGAACACTTTTTCTGTTGTTTTCCTCCAGGAGTGTGAAGAACTGATTCATGCTTCTCTCGCCCATTTCCCAGGTTGACCTGTACTTTAGCTCATACTCTTCATCTCTTTTGTCTTTCTGTCGGTTGTTGAACAATAAGTGAACGGGTTCTTTCATATTCTTTCTGCAGGGTATTTCTGCTGTTTTAATGGCATTAAGAGCATCTGTTGGAGGTAATCCATCTGACTGTGACATGAGAAACATTATGCTGTTCTCTATATCTTTACCAAGTATAGACAGAACTGAGTGAAAGATGTAAAACTCTTTTTCAGAGAGTCGATTCTGAGACGTCTTCATCACAAAACACACTGCATCAATATAATGAATCCCATCCTCATCTGAAAATAATCTCATCAGATACTCAGAAATCTCTCGGTCTTTCTCGTATCCTTCAGTGTTTCCGTATCCTGGAGTGTCAATGATGGTCAGAGATGTTGGGTTTTCTTTAACAAACACTTCATAAACAGTCATCTGATGTGTCTGGGATTGTGATTGATCTGCATCATCAGTTTCTTCTGTGATTTGATAAAACTCTTGATCATCAAACTTCACTCCCAGTATGTAGTTGATCATAGTATTGATCATGGTTGTTTTCCCAGCGCCGGTTTCTCCCACCATCAGTATGACTTTGTTCTGCTTGTTTCTGTTCTTTTGTCCATATGTCCACTGTTTGACCTTTGTCTCATTTCCATCAGTCTGATTTCTTTTTGTGTTCAGTCGGTAAAGCGCTGGAGGACCTTGTTTCATTAGAGTGGCATCATAACGTGATCTGCAAAAGAGAAGATTGTTTTGGGGGTGGGGAAGTGTGGGGGGGTGCTCAGCATTTTACATTAATTTATTTTGTATGAGGTTGCAACTTATGCAGATTTGTCAAGATAATATTATGTAGCTTGCTAACGCAAATTAAAGAAGAAAAGCTTACCGCATCTCATCTGATTGATTCCCGTCACCTGTTTTTAACAGTAAACAGTTTCAAAGATGACAATATAAATAACTTGTGATTTATTGCTATATTGTGATATACAGATACTGCTTTCTGTGAATACAAAAATAAAGTGGCTTGAAAACTTCATAATGTAATTTCCAAACTTACGGTTAAAAGCAGGAGGACGATCAATACTCTTATCTGAAGCACCACTATCATCACTGCAGTCAGAGTCACAGCGATGGTGATCCATCTGAAAGAAAAAGATTCACACTTAAAAAAAAAAACATTTATACATATATATATATATATATACACACACATATATATACAGTATATGATAATGGTAATTTTAGATGATTTCATACTGCAATTCTGCACTTGCAATTCTGGCCAAATTAAAGATACGTTGTGTGTGAATTTGCACGTTTTAATGTAAGCATCATTAATGACCCCCTGTTTTTATTTAAAACAAAAAAAATTGATTGATTAGTGAAATGAAAGAATGATTTAATAAAAAAAATGAGAATGATTATTGTCTCTAATTGGCCTGTTTAGCAAAGCCCTCAAAACATTTCTTATTTAGTGGTACAGTATTGCATGATTTGTAAATTATATTTAATAGTTTACACTTTGCAAAAACGTTTGCAACTAGTTTTTAAAAGGTAACATGACATTCTTAAGGACTTGTTTACGCTTACATTTCTTTAAATCTAAAAAGGAACACTTGTGCTCCTACTTTAAATAAAAAAAATAATAAAATAGGAACACTTTCTGATCAATGACAGAAATTAATCTTCCCATTATAAGGTGATATTTGACTCCTTATTTTTTAAATCTTTGTAATGCCATTTTTAATAACTTTATTAATGTATGTCATCTTTTGTGCCAAAAAAATTGATTTATAAATGTTTATCAAAAATTTTAATTAAACAATAAATTCAATTAAAATGATAAGATTCAATCACGAAGAATAAGTTACCAGTCAACTTAAACATCAACAATTCATCTTTGCACGGCACAGAAGAGCACAAATGTGGAATATTTACAGACTTTTTGACAAGAATTAGGCCCCGTTTACACTAGTGCGTTTTCGTTTTAAAACGCATAACTTTTGCTACGGTTACGCCCATCGTTTACACTACTCCGGTGTTTTCCAGCCTCGAAAACGGAGACTTTTGAAAACGCTGCAGACCCCGTTTTAGTTTGAAAACTCCGGGGTTGCGTTTCAGTGTAAACGGAGCAAAACGGAGACTTTTGAAAACGATGGCGTGGCTGCCCACATTCGCTCTGCGTATCCTTGACGACTGTGTAAACAATAACATCATGCTCATTGTTGTACCCATAGATATGTATGGGTAGATTCCCCATTCGACTGCTTTAAGCACGTACGCCATAATGCCGTTTTAAAACGATAATGCACTAGTATAAACAGGGCCTCAGGGGTGACATTAATGCATGTCATAATGTCAATGTTATGAGATTAATGTTTTGAATATAAAGTTTTGAATATAGAAATGTTGAACTTTTTAAATGACTCAATTTATACTTTAAAAATGAAACGGAAACTGCCATTAGGTGGCAGCAAGTCAAAGTCTTGGTTACTGAATCATTTATTTAATCGATTTTTTCAAACGGCTGATTCATTTAGGAACGAAGCAAGTGACTCTCTTTATGAATGTGTCATTGAATCATTGACTCACTCAATTTGTTCAAAAACGCAGATTCATTCATAAACAAAACACAGCTGTGTTTGAATGGAGATGCGCAGCGGCTCAGCTGTGACTTTGTTTGGAACTATTTTTGTTGAAAAAATAGAGCAAAATTAGACAACAGTGTTCCTAAAATATAACTTTTGTATAAAATATTTTTTTTTATAAAACTGTTGTATAAAATCAATATCACATTTTCCCTTTTATAATCATTTAAAATCTGTCACCTGTCTTAATTCATCGCGATCTCACAAACTTGCATTTTAATTAATGAAGCTCTCTACACTGCACACTGAATGTATTATTTACATTGTCTCTACACTTTGTTATAATGAATGACAAACTGCAGTCTACTTTCATGATCTGTGCTGTGAGGAGCAGGACGCGCACCGATAGAGAAGCATTTATATTGTCTGCAGGTATTATGGCAAAAAACGACATTGCACAGCTAACCATATCCAGCTACGTTTTTAGTCTACATTATGCTACGTTTTATATACAGAACTGGGATCGCTTTCGTAGACTTCTGAATGGATAAAATATAGAAATCACTTTAATTTCCAATAGAACCTAACCAGTTGGAAGTGAAACGCCGTCCCCCCTCGAAATTCACTCCGCGGACTCCGTCCCCCCGCGTCCCCCCATTTCCAGACCTGTATATATATATATATATATATATATATATAT